TATTCTTTTGTTCTTGATCTAATACGTCATATTTTGCCATATAACTTCAACATCTCAATCTGATGATTGGTGTATTAGAGCCAAGGTTCAGCTGTTCCGCAGAGCACAAGGTTTGATTTGTTCGATGTTTTTTGTTCGTGATGACTTCCCTGAAGTATGACATTCCACTTTTGGATCAAAGTACTAGATTTTTGCTATGGCAGGTTAAGATGCATGCAGTACTAGCACAGTTGGATTTGGATGATACGTTGTTGGGTATTGACAGGATGCTAGCAACTTTGACCGAGGATGAGAAATTACGGAAGGATAAAAATGTAGTTTCCCATATTCATCTTCATCTATCAAATACCATTCTTTAGGACGTTTTGAAGGAGAATTCAACTGCTACGTTATGGTTGAAGTTGGAGCAATTGTGCATAACTAAAAGTCTGACAAGCAAGTTGAACCTCAAGCAGCATTTATACTCTCATCGAACGGCAAAAGGAAAACCATTAGAAGATCACCTGGCTGTATTTAAAGAGATCGTCGCTGATTTAGAAACTTTGGAAGTAGAGTATGATGATGAAGATTTGGCCTTGATCCTATTGTGTTTGTTGCCCGCTTCGTTTTCTTCTTTTAGAGACACGATCTTGTATAGTGATGATACTCTCACCATAGAAGAGGTGTATGATACTTTATATTCAAAAGAGGAGATGAAGCATTTGGTTTCTAAGGCTAGAGATAGAGCTGGCCTTGTTGCTCATGGTAATTCTGGAATGGACAATCAAATTTGTAACTACTGCAAGAAGAATGAGCACTTGAAGAAGGATTGCTACAAATTGTAGAATAAAGAAAGGATGGCTGCTAGTCAATATGGAAAGCAATTAGATACTCAAGCGAAGCAGACCTTGTGGAGAACATTGATGGAGAACTCTTTGCTATTTTTGACGTCGAGTCTAAACTTGAAGAGGATTGGATTCTTAATTTAGTGTGCTTCATACGTGTCCTAATAAGGACTTATTTGCTATATATGAAACTGTTTCCAAAGGTGTCATGGTTATGGAAAATAACCTACTTTGTCGAGTTGCTGGAACTAGTACAGTCAGATTGAAGCTTTTGGATGGGCCAATTAGAACACTTGGCCAGGTTCGACATGTCCCAGATTTTGAAGAAAATCTCATCTCGTTGTCTATCCTTGATTCAAAAAGTTATAAGTTCTTTGGTGGAGATGGAGCCTTGAAGTTTTGTAAGGGTGCCCAAGTTGTATTGGAAGGGATAAAAAATGTCTGAATTATACATCTTCCAGGGCCGTGCAAAATTTAGAAGAATCAATCAGCACAGATTTAGTACCGTGGTGGACATTCAGTTTGGTACAATACCTTTATGAGCTCATAAATGGTTAGATTTGAATAATACAACTCAGTGGATTTCAAGAGATATGGATAATACCGCTTACCACAATCACTTGTGGTGCAATTTATTCAGTTGCTAGGGAATGACCTAGTGGAACAAGGTATGTGGACGCTGATTTTGTTGAGCATGCTTTAAGTGGAGTAAAAGGTGTACAATCTAGCGATGTGCCTTCTTTAAAAGTATTTGGGTTTAATTCTGCTTTGGGGTGTGTTACAACCCAATTTTAAATTATAAAATTATTATGATTTTTTGGAAATCTGAGATAATTCTACAGAGTAGTGCTTGGATTCATTGGAAGATGTGGAGTATTGTGTTGGAGAAATTAATTTTTTGATTATTGTTGAAGAAGCCAGTTCATTCCTTGGTGGAATTCGTGTCAACGCGAAGATTGTTGAAATTTGGGTGTGACTCAAATTTCCTTGTTGAAATAATTGAAGAATTCTAATTGAAGTGCACTTCAAGAAGAATTCAGTTTGGAATGCTATTTGAGTCATATGTCAAGTGAAAGTTCTATTTTGGAAGCTCATTGAGAGTTGGAATTTGTATTACAGTTGAATAGGTTGAAATTATGGACCGGGAAGAAAAGTCGCCGTAGGTTTTCTCCAGAGAGTTGCCACTCTCTTGGCGCTGCCGTGTCGCTCCGCGACGTTGTTACCCT